TGGGGTAGCAATACTCATATCTGATAAAGTAGATTTCAAAATGAAGACCATAACTAGAGACAAAGAAGGCTACTACATAATATTGGAAGGATCTATCCAACAGGAAGATATAACCTTGGTAAACATATATGCACCAATATATGAGCATCAACATATATTAAAAATCTTCTGGGGGACTTCAAAAAAGAAATCAACAGCAATACAATCATAGCAAAGGACTTCAATACCCCGCTGACATCACTGGATAGATCATCTAGACAAATAATTAACAAGGAAACACAGATTCTAAATGAAGCACTAGATCAAATGGATTTCATAGATATCTACAGAGAATTACACCCCAAAACTTCAGAATTCACATTCTTCTCAAGTGCACATGGGACATTCTCAAAGATAGACCTCATGTTAGGACACAAACTCAGTCTCTACAAGTTCAAGAAGATTGAAATCATATCAAGCATTCTTCTCAGATCACATAGGCATACAACTAGAAATCAACTGCAACAAGAACATGCAAAGACATTTGAAAACATGAAGGCTAAATAGCATGTTATTGAACAATGAATGGGTTACCATGGAGATCAAGGAAGAAATTAAAAACTTCCTGGAAACCAATGAAAATGAACACACAACAACACGAAATCTATGGGATGCAGCAAAAGCAGTTCTGAAAGGGAAGTTCATAACACTACAAGCCTACCTCAAGAAGCAAAAAAATTTCTAACAAACTATCTAACCTCACAACTTAAAGAACTAGAAAGCAAACAAAAAGAAAACCCCAGAGCAAGTAGCAGGAAAGAAATAGTAAAGATCAGAGCAGAAATAAATGACATGGAGACCAAAAAAACAATTCAAAGGATCAATGAAACAAAGCTGGTTCTTTGAAAAGATAAACAAGATTTATGGATCCTTATCTAGACTCTCCAAGAAATAAAGAGAACCCAAATACACAAAATCAGAAATGAAAAAGGAGAAATAATAACTGACACCACAGAAATACAAAGTATCATTAACAAATATTATGAACCATTATACGGCAACAAATTTGACAATCTAAGTGAAATGGCCAAATTTCTAGAAACACATAGTCTCCCAAAACTGAGCTGAGAAGAGATAGAAAACTTGAACAGACCAATAGCAACAAAAGAAATTGAAGATGTAATCAAGACTCTCCCAGCAAACAAAAGCCCAGGCCCAGAAGGCTTTGCGGGGTAATTTTACCGAACATTCAAAGAACTAATACCCATGCTCCTCAAACTATTTCAAAAAATTCAAGAAGAAGGAACACTTCCAAACTCATTTTATGAGGCCAGCATAATTCTAATTCCAAAACCAGAAAAAGACACTACAAACAAAGAAAACTACAGGCCAATATCCCTGATGAACATAGATGCCAACATCCTGAACAAAATACTGGCAAATCGAATCCAGTAATACATCAAAAAACGTATTCACCATGACCAAGTGGGACATCCCAGGGATGCAAGGCTGGTACAATATTTGCAAATCAATAAATGTGATATACCACATAAATAAAATGAAAGATAAAAATCATATGATCATATCAATAGATGCTGAAAAAGCATTTGACAAAATCCAGCACCCATTTCTGATAAAAATGCTCAGAAATCTGTTAATAGAGGGATCATATCTCGACCTAATAAGGTCCATATATGATAGACCTACAGCCAACATCATACTCAATGGGCAAAAACTAAAAGCATTTCCCTTAAGAACAGGAACAAGGCAAGGATGCCCACTTTCACCACTCTTATTTAACATAGTACTGAAAGTCTTAGCCACAGCAATCAGACAGGAAGAAAAAATAAAAGAAATCCAAATTGGAAAGGAGGAAGTGAAACTGTTATTATTCGCAGATGACATAATACTGGACGTAGAAAACCCCAAAGACTCCATCAAAAATTTACTAGACTTAATAAATGAATTTGGAAAAGTAACAGGATACAAAATTAATGTCAAGAAATCGATGGCATTCTTATACAACAATAATGAACTCACAGAAAGAGGAACTAAGAAAACAATTCAATTTACCATTGCAGCAAAAAAATTAAGGTACCTAGGAATAAACATAACCAAAGAAATAAAGGACCTATTTGCTGAAAACTACAGGTCATTGAAAAAAGAAATAGAGATATAAAAAAGTGGAAGCACATACCTTGCTCATGGATTGGAAGAATTAACATCATTAAAATGTCCATACTACCCAAAGCTATCTATAGATTCAATGCAATCCACATCAAAATACCAACAACATACTTCACAGAACTAGAACAAATACTTCAAAAGTTCATATGGAACCAAAAAAGTCCCCGAATAGCCACAGCATCTTGAAAAAGAAGAACAAAGTTGGAGGGATCACATTACCAGGTTTCAGGTTATAGTACAAAGCCACTGTAATCAAAACAGCCTGATATTGGCACAAGAACAGGCAGATAGATCAATGGAAGAGAATAAAGAACCCAGAAATGGACCCGAGGCAATATCCTCAATTAACATTTGACAAAGGGGGCAAGAGCATACAGTGGAGTAAAGACAGCCTCTTTAATAAATGGTGTTGGGAATATTGGACAGCTACATGCGAAAAATAAAAGTAGACCATCAACTTACACCATACACAAGAATAAACTCAAAATGGATGAAAGACTTAAATGTGACTCATGAATCCATAAAAATCCTAGAAGAAAATGCAGGCAACAAAATTTCAGACATCATACGCAGCAGAATTTTCACTGATACATCACCTAAGGCAACAGAAACGAAGAAGAAAATGAACACATGGGACTACATCAAACTAAAAAGCTTCTGCACAGCAAAAGAAACAACCACCAAAATGGAAAGGCAACCTACTCTATGGCAGAGCATAATTGCCAATGATACATCAGATAAGGGGTTAATTTCCAATATATATATAGAGTGCTCATACAGCTCAACAAAAGGAAGTCAAAGAACCCAATTAAAAAATGGCCAGAGGAACTAAATAGACACCTCTCCAAACAGGACATACAAATGGCTAAGAGACATATGAAGAAATGCTCAACATCATTAATCATCAGAGAGATGCAAATTAAAATAACAATGAGTTATCACCTCACACCTGTCAGAATGGCCGCCATCAACAAATCATCAAACAATGAATGTTGACCAGGATGTGGAGAAAAGGGGACTCTAGTACACTGCTGGTGGGAATGCAGACTGGTGCAGCCACTATGGAAAACAATATGGTGTTACCTCAAAAAATTAAAAATTGAACTTCCATTTGACCCAGTGATCCCACTTCAAGGAATATACCCCAAGTTGCCTGAAATACCAATCACAAAGAATATATGTACCCCCATGTTCGTAGCAGCACTATTTACAATAGCTAAGATCTGGAAACAGCCCAAATGTCCATCAGTGGCTGAATGGATAAAAAAGCAGTGATACATATACACAATGGAGTCCTGTGCAGCTATAAGAAAGAAAGATCTCTTATCCTTTGAGACGACATGGAAGGAGCTAGAGAGTATTATCCTAAGGGAAAAAAGCCAAGGAGAGAAAGACAAATATCACATAATCTCAGTTATTTGTGGAATATAATGAACATAACAGTCTGAGGAATGGGGTAGTCCCAGAGATGTGGAAGTGGGGTACAGACTGACAGTCCCCAGAAGAGGGGGTGGTGGGGGAGAGATAAACTACAGAACTTATATGCATGTGTGCATGAACAATGGACATGGACAACAAAGCTGAGGGCTGGGGACTGGGTGGGGATGGTGGGGGAGGTGGTTATCAGTTGGGGAAAAAGTAGAAACATCTGTAACAAAAATAAATAAACTAAATAAAAAAAAAGTCACTAGTTTAAAAAAAATCAATAGTTCCAGTAATCAAGAAAGCTATCACTGACTGAACTCTCCTAACTTTTTTACTCTCCCTGAGAAAATCAGATGAGGATTACAAGGGCTTATTAAAAAATGTTCTAGTGTAATATAAGAAAATAAGGAATCATCATTTGGTTTTTCTCCATATTTGGGATAAATTATTCTTTCACAGAATTTAATATACTTGAAAAGAATAAGATTATAGCACTTTTGTACTTTATAAATTTTTGATGAAGATGATTTTTAATTGTTGCATATTATTTCATAATCATTTCTACCATAACTTAAATAACACTTCCTTCATATTGTGGAATATATAAAATGTTTCAGAATTTAATCTGTTATAAATAATAGTTGGAAGAACAACCTGCAGAAACCATTTTTGTTTCTGCATTGCAAATTTTTTCACAATTTCAGGATTCTTATTGAGTTAGCATGTGACTTCACTGAAGAATAGGCTAAGATATCCATGTTTGGGATCAGGTGGTTTCCATTTCTCCTGAAAGTGAACTCATTTTTTTCTCTGGACACCATGAATTTTCCTACTTCTGCCCGTAATGAAATTGAGAACACTGGACAGTTTCCTCATTGTACTGTGTGTAACCTCTCCCTCTGTCATCAGGTGTATGTATCGATCACTCCACCTGTGCAGAGACACATGCTTCTCCTTTATGTTTCTGTCTGCCACTCTGTACCCTACAGGATGCAGGTAGAAAAGGATGTACTAGTATTTTTCAAATATTAAGCATGGTTTGTTGGGAAATATATATGACTACTGTTCCAATATGAACCCTGAGTTGTCAAATGAACAATATTTGGGGAAAGATGCACACAACATGAATATTTTAAAACACCAGAATTAAATCAGCATTCTGAAGGAGTGCAGACCAATAGAACTTTCTGAGAGCATGGAACTCTTTTATATCCATGCTGCCCAATGTGGTAGCCACTAGCCACATGGAGTTACTGAGCACCGAGGAACTAAAATGGAAATCAAATTAAATGTAAATTTAATAGCCACATGTGCTACTGGCTTCTGTGTTGGACAGCCCATGTCTAGAGAATAAATGCAAAAATATATAGGTATCCAAACTGATCTTCCCTTTCCCTTTTGCTTTTCAGGGAAGGTCTGGTTTCGATGGCCTTCAGGGGGAAACTGGAAATGTTGGCTCTCGGGTAGGTATGACTGCTCATGGGATGTGTTTCACCTGCTTTTGTGGAAGAAAGAGATTGCCTGGGGGGAGAATTGGCTGTTTCCTTCTCTAAGGTCTTCATTTTCCTACTCTTTTTAGGGGTCAAGAGGAAGACAAGGTCAGCCAGGATTGAAGGTCAGTGCTTTCTGGACGGGTTGCTTCTTGTTCCACATCTACAGCACTTTAAGGAGTTCTGTCTGAGGTCACAGGGAGTGCTGGCTGGGTTGTCTGAGGTTGCATGAGGACCCCTGGGAAATCTCCATGGGGAGCTTTTCCATGAAGAAGGGAAAGTTTATGTGGTTCCTCTCTGCCCCCTCTGCAGCCTGCTATAATATTTCATTTAGATCGAAAAGAAGCGAATACCTTAGAGAATAGCTTTTACCTCTGAAATAATGATTTTTCAATTTAAAGACTTCCTATAGGTGCTTTAGGGAATCTTATAGTCACTAACTGAAGGGAAAAGATTGAGTTTTAATATTTCCAAAGGGGGAATGATGTGATTTGAGGGTGGGATGGGGCGGGAATATCTGTGGAAATCCTATTTTACTAAGCATTTATCTAGCACCAGTCACTGTGTTAGATCTGTATTTATATTATCTCATGTAAACCTTTCTAAAGCTCTGGGAGTTACAAGCATCACTGGTTACCTTTTATGGATAAGAGTGAAAATAGGTTTAGCAAAGCAAAGTTACTTGTCAGAGGCCAAACAGCTAATAATTAGTGGAGACAAGATTCAAATCTAAAGATGAGAATACTCTTGGAAATAAGAGTTCAGATTATTGTGTAGACTTATCTCTAGAACAATCTGGTCATACTATGCTGGTATTATTTTTTTTCTAGTATTCTCATGATTTAAGGATAGAGAAGTCAGAGATTGATTTATGCCATCTCTGAGCCTGGGAGTGTGTGTGTGTGTGTGTGTGTGTGTGTGTGTGTGTGTGTGTTGTATAAGGACCTAGGTACAAGCAGAAAATGGAATTCATATGTCTTCAAACCAAAAATGTTGAGAAAGCATGAATTGAGAAATCCCAAGTCAAAAAAATCTAAACAAGTTTTGTTGACACCAACTAAAATATAATTTCTTTTAAACAATGCTAGGATTTGAAATAAATTCTTAGATAATCTATGTGCTCTTAATTAAATCTTAACCTTTGTAAAATAATGTCTTGAAATATCATTTTATCCCATTGTTTTTATCCCTTAAAAGGCTGAAAGAAATAGACTGCAATTGAACAGGCTGTGTTTTGGAGAAAATTTAGTGGCTCTTGGCAGTGGAATGAATTTTCTACTCTTGATTTATTTAATTCTTTTATGATGCTATGTGTAGTTTACCTAAACATCTGTTAACAGTGGGTCCTCTGCCCAGCTGGGTCTTGGTTACTTTTTTGTTCCCTGTGTCACTCCATCTCCTATATCTTTTTAAAAAATTTAAATCAGAGCCAAGCCTGTGCATACACTTCAATTCAACTTGCACTCTCAAGCTTATAAGGAAAAATATTTCCCTGCCCATTGTTCCTTCTTGTTCCTTACTCCCAGCCCTTCAGGAGCACACACTTTCATGTCTTTGGGCTTTCCCCTCTGATGTCATTGCCTTTGTAAAAAATGACATGTTTACTTTGCAATTTTTTTGGTTTTCAGTTTCGGATGTTTTTCTATTGATTTCTTTCTTTCATTTTTTCCTCTATTGATTGGAATTTAGACTTTGATTTGCCCAGCAGGCTCCAGAATCAGAATATGTTCTCTTCCAGGCTCTTACTGTGTTCATTTGTGGTATATTCTGCCTCATTTTCATAGCTAGACCCTGACCAAGAATTTGTTAAGCCCTTAAAGTTTTTTTAGTACTCAAGAGTAAAAAAAAACACTTTTGCTTTTCTAACCCCCTTACTCTAGTTCTCTGTATTTTAACTTAAATACATTTATTGTTATAAGACATTTATTGTAAAATAAATACATTGGGTTTTCAGTGTATGGCCATGAGTCAGTTTCTAACCCAGATTCTGGTTCAGGCTGCTCATTAGGTTATAATGTACTGTGAACCAGCAATTTCTTACTGATGGAAACTTCTGAAAGGTTTTTCCTCTACTTTTATTTGGTAAACATTTCGTGATAAAAGATTTGTTCTAAAAGGCAGTTTTCTTTAGTTTTAAGCAGTGAAGTAGAAATAATTATTTTCTTTTGCTCTGATAGTTAAGTATTGACTTTTCTTTTCTTTTATTTCTTTCTTTTTAAATTCCGCATCACCTTTTCCACCATCTCCCTACCCGCCTGACCCTCTGGTAACCATCAGTTTGTTCTCTAAATCTGTGGATCTATTTCTGTTTTGTTTTCTTTGATTTCCTACTGTGGGGACAAAGATTTTTCTTAACCTGTCCACCTCCTTCATACACTTTCCCCCAACTCATCCTTGCAATAAAGTTGTTTTCTCTACTTTTCATCAATTTAGTTCATTGTTCACATGATGACAGGGAAATATTATTTACAGCTATATAACTTTTGTTTTCCTGAACCACCCCTTCTCCCCATTTGCTTTGTGTTCTGTGAGCATATTTAGTTAATCGTAAAGCCCTTTCACAAAACATGTGAGGTTTATTTTCCTTGGATTACTCCTTCCCAGGCCCCTCCGTCCTCCTCTAATCAGGACTGATTGCTCTATGGTCCTCTGTACTGCTTTCTTCTTGGGGACGGAGTTTGTAACAGCAACCTCCCATTCTGGAAGCAGAGAAAAATGTGTGCAAACTGCTGTCTCTGATAGGAAGCCTCTCCCTTTAATGCATTGTAATCTTCGTGACTCCCTATGGTTGTTTCCTCTCTTTGCTATTAAAGCTTTGATTTTCTTTTAAAAAGCAGGAGATATTTGTAGACACCAGGGTGTACTGGTTTATTCAACATGTCAGTGGTTTGCTAGATAACTCGGTGTTAGAGCATTGGTCAAGTAGACTCATTTATGTTTTTGAGACTGTAACTTGCTTAAGATCAGCCAATACTATTGAAAGAATATAGCTTACAGAGGCGCTGAACTCTACATTACAACCTTCCTTGGGCCTTGGGGAAATATGGCTCATTACTGCCCATAACATTAGATATCTGGCTTTTGCAAGATGCCTAACAAAATGGAATTCTTAATAAAATTATATTTATAGAAAAGATTGTATTATGGCAAACAAATCAATGCATAGATTATTTTGGCAATAAGGGAAAACCTTAATTTGTTAATTATGATAAAATTGAGAATGTCATTTTTTAAATGTTCAGGAACCTACCACCTCCTGCAATTATTGTCATGTTTGTGTTTCCTTCACTTGCATAAATAGTAAGGGGTTATCGTAATGTATATACTATTTTATATTCAGCTTTTCTGTTTCCAAATCTTCTATTGTCATTTTAATACATTACAACTTACTCTGTTAAAGAACAATGATTTACTAAACTATTAGGTAATTTCTGTTTTATTACATATCATGTCAGTGATGTAAAGAAAAACTGTATTTTAGGTTTTTGGTTTTATTCTTGTTTTTGCTTTGCTGAAATGATTTCCTAGAATAAATGTATAGGCATGGAATTGTAACAGAAGAGTCTGAGCTTTGCTTTATAGAGCCACATTGGTTTTAGAAGTGTTGCATTATGAATGTCATTAATGTAATGTGCAAATTAGGCAACATTTCCCAACTTGTTTCAAAATTTCTGGCCACATGCCTTTTAAAACTTGGTTTATGTTTATAAATTTATAAATCAACTCTTGAAGAGTAGAGTAATATAATAGTAATGATTAATAGAAGTGCTTCCCACTTATCTGAATAGTTAAAAAAAACTTAAGAAGTACAAGTAATTGCCCTGGCCAGTTTGGTTAAATGGTTAGAGGATCGGCCAGTGGACCGATGAGTCATGGGTTTGATTTTGGTCAAGGGCACGGACCTCGGTTGCAGTTTGTCTCCAGCGCTGGTTGGGTTGTGCAGGAGGCAACCAGTTGATGTGTGTCTCTCACATTGTTGTTTCTCTCTCTCCCTCTCTCTTCCTCCTTCCCTTCTTTCCACTCTACCTGATGATGAATGGAAAAATATCCTCAGGTGAGGATTAAAAAAAAAAGAAGTACAATAATTGACCCACATTTTGATTAATTCTGAGTTTAAGATTTTTTTCTCTTTACAAATCTATGAATAACCCATCAGTAGCCTAGTCAACATGAGAAAGAAGGCAGACTAATTCACAAAATGGGCATTATCCTCAATCTTGGAAAATGTATTTTCTCTGTAGAACTGAAAATATTAATTTGAGGGAGAAATTAAACCAGTTATCAGGTGGATCATTTTAGCAGTCCGCCCTTTGCCTAGAGAACTAGATTAATGCTTTAAGAACCTGTAGGGTTTTAAAGCCAGTTTTCTGCTTAGTTCTCTCTGTACTTTATGGGCCTTGGTTCCAGAATGTCACACTTGTTGCTGTGTTCAACACTCCGAGCGTCCTTGCAAGAGATAAGGCTTCGTAACACCAGTCAGCATTTGGCCCATATTCCTTAAAAGGATTGAATGGGCTTTTAGTAATCAATTATTACATAAAATGGAAGTTTGAGTACTTTAAACAAAGTATTTTTATTTCCATCACTAGCAGAGACTAGGAGATGTGTGCAAAGACTGGGAAAGAGTAAGAAGCTGGTCTTACATTTTCCCAGTATACGTGGAACTCTGGTCCCCATTCCTCTTCAACTCCACATCCTCAGAGGACGGAGTACAGACCGTGAAATCTTTTTTGTCTCTCTCTTGTGGCTTTCGGGTGACATCTTGCAGGGGAGGCTGCCTTCATTGGGGACATTAAAGATGCCCAGTGAACTCACTACATTTTATTCACTTTGACAGGGTTTGCGTGGAGAATCTGGTGGACGCGGTTACCAAGGAGAACTTGGGTATCCAGGCTCACAGGTTGTATCGGTGAACTTGTTTCTCGTGCTAAAGGATATTTGTTTAAAGTCTTAACTTAGATTCTTTGATAGGGATTTAACATATATCAGAATGGCCTTGGATACCTCCCTTCTAGGGCCTCTCAAAGCAAATTATGGAGCCTCTTTCCTGGGCAGGTTAAATCCCAATAGCTAATATTTATTGAGCTCTTACATATATTCTGATATGTCCTAGATATGGCCCTAAGCTCTTATATTAAGTCATTAAGTCCTTCAGTGGGGGTTTTATTATCCCCATTTTATCGGGGAGAAATGGAGGGGAATGGAGAATTTAGGTAAATTGGCCAAGCTCACACAGCTAGTAAGTAATAAAAATAGGATTCAGACTCAGGCAGTAGAGTTATAAACCTATGCTCTTAATTAGTGCCCATTCAAATTACTAAAATTGTATTTAATTCATTAAAATTGTATTCAACTTGGCAGAAAAAAATCAGCAACATGTTTATGGAGTATCTATTATGCACAGGGCATGTTGCTATTATAACTGGGACATTCAGACTGTTAAGGCAAGGATCTTGCCCTGAAGGAGTGCAGTCCGGGAGGGTGTTGTAAAGTATTATGTGATAACTGGAAATGTAAGCTTCCCGTCAGTTCTTTTGGAATCTTCTAAGTGTAACCCAAATCTGTCACTCTGTAAACATTCCTGAAATATTCTCTACATCTTTCTTTTAAAAGTCAAATAGTTTCTCCCTGGCCGGTGTGGCTCAGTGATGGAGTGTTGACCATGCACCAAGAGGTCACAAGTTCGATTCCTGATTAGGGCACGTGCCCAGGTTTTGGGCTCGATCCCCAGAAGGGGGCGTGCAGGAGGCAGCCGATCGATGATTCTCTCTCACATCGATGTTTCTATGTCTCTCTCCCTTCCTCTGTCTCTAAAAACTCAATAAAAATGTATTTTAAAAAATTATTTCTAAGTATCCCCAAATGGAAGAACTTTAACACAGCAAATTTTACTACCACATTGAATCATTCCCCTGAACTTTAAAGATCCTATGAATGTCAGAAAATAATTTGAGAAGGTTTCTGCCATTTTTCCACTTGGCAAAGATACAAAAGAAAGAAGTGGGTAATCAACATGTAATTACAAACTGTATTTACTTTATGACAGAAACTAGTATCTGAACACAGGGGGATGCCACTGAGAGATGTATTTTTGCCTTTTCTTTTGATCACTGTCTTAATTCAAATTTGGACCTCCCGTGACTGTTGTTTCCTGGCCTTTTCCTTTATATTCACTTTATCACACCGCTGCGTGCGAGGGGAGCAGGACGTGTGGTGAACCGTGAGCAGGATAATCGATCAAACCGCTCCTTAATCCTCACTTCCCACTGGCATGTGGGTATGATTCAGTACCCACACAGGTGATTCAATACCTCACACAGGAGTATAGAAGTCGTGATCAATGCTTCTAATAGGAAACCATTTCTCAGAAAAGCTGGAAAAAATTAAAGTGTCAGAAATCAGTAAAGTAAAATAGATCGGAGAGAAAACGAGCAACTCCCCAGCAACGTGCCCAGTGAGATTAGGCCACTTAAGTGTGCTTTTGGTTCTCGATAAAGTCAGAACACGATTTCTTGTTTAGACCTTGTATATATAAGAAGGAGGTTGATTTTTCAAAGGAGATCACTGTCCTTAAAGCTTCTCTATTCCCCTTGTAAGATCTAAAGTTAGTTGGGTGAATTGAAATATAAAAGCAACGTTCTCACACTTGAGTGCTTGTCAGATTCAACTGGAGAGATGGTTAGAAATACAGATGCTGAGGATGCATGTCCTGTGCTTCAGGTGGAATGAGTTTGGAGTGTGTGTGCCGGGGATGCTTCAGAGTGCAGATGCTGTTTGATTAAAATGTAACCAATGAGGTAGCGATGGGCCAGGACACCTTAATTTGTGCTTTCATCAGCATCCAAGATGATTTTGTGGTTACCAGGAAAATAATTATGTAGCTCTGTAAACATTGGTTGAATTTTTTAAAGCTAGAATATTTTATTATTGAGTCAAATTGTCCCCTGGATAAAAACACAAACAAATCAGAACAAGCGTACACAATAAAAAAAGAACAACAACATTGTTAAAGAATAAATGACAGAACCTCAAATGTGTGGCTAATTAATGTTTTACTCATGGCTATTTTGGTTTCAGTCTAATTGGCAAAACCTCTAATTCTAGACTTTACTTACCTGTTCTAGTTTGAGCAAATTAGTTTAACATGATGGCCCTCATTGTACAACTCTTCAAGGTTGAGCATTTTTTAATTGATTTTACTCTCCATCCCACAGTTATAAAAAAAAAGATGAGGTAGGTAATTGATTAAAACCTACAGAACTTTAATTCAACATTTCCCTGAAGCCTTTAATGTAGAATTACTTTTTGTAACAAAAGGCTACTTTTATTGTTTGTAATTATTACATGTTTTCTGTACTGCCTGAGGACCATTTCTTGATAATGGTGCACTGTGAAATAGGTAATCTTCAGAATTATGTATTCCAATGTTCGTATACAGAAATGAACTTATCTGTAAGTAGGCCTCCCCACACAATCAAAGGGATCATTCAGGCTCATTTCAAACCAACTGGCACACTTTGCAGGAGTCTACTGATCAAATATGTGGATATTACAGTCTTTAACTGGCTTTCATAGAGAATTCTAACTTAAAATTGGTTGAATTTTAATTTTATCTTTGGACCAGGGACCAAGAGGAAGGCAAGGACCACCAGGAATTTTTGGACAAACGGGCTCACTGGGTGCTCGGGTAGGTTTGGAAAACTAAAAGTTGCAACACAGCTGCTCATTGACAATGGCCAGTTCATAAACCTGAGTGTTCCTGAATGAGTAACGTAAACCCACACTGTTTGTTCTGGGATCTTTGAGTATCAGGAATTCCTAGAAATAGCTAATTTGATGTAGTAGACATTGATCATCAAGTATGTGCCCCCTTTTACTCTAAGTATATTATGGAAATATAGTGACCAATGAGACTGGATTTGAGCCTCAGGGGTGTGTAAGTTCATACTTACCTATGATGCAAAAAAAAAAAAAAAAATTGTATTGTACAAAGGGGGAATAAGTGGTTAATTTACTGCTCACAAACATATAAAGAAGCATTACTATCCTAGTTTTATAGATGAGGAAACAGGCTCAAAGGGATTAAGGGGCTTGTCATCAGGGTAGTGAGAGGCTGAACTAGCCTCTAATTTGGGTCTTTCTAGTACCTGTTTTACAACCCATCCAATGCCCTGGTGATTCATAGAAAGTTCTGACCACATTGAGGCAGATGACTGGAGTGGTTTCCTAAGGCAGGGAGCATTTGTGATACCTTAAACCTGAGCAGCATGATTTAAGTCAGGGATAAGAGTATCTGGAGATTTAAAATAGCAGCTCCAGGATGGCCTAAGCCCTCATTCTGTCCTCATTCTCCCTCTTGGTTGGGAAAATTCTAGCCCTATAACTGATTGTATTATTTTCATTCTTATTTGATAATGTTTTCTATTTGGGAAGGGTCAAAGTCCAGGAACTTGTCTTCCTGACCTCTTAATCAAGTGGTGTTTTCCTTTCATAGCCAGATAATTCCTTCCATGTGTGGTGAATGTGGCCTCCTGCACAGAACACCTTACTCTCCCACCCCACCCCCCAGCCCAGAGGCTAAATATGTCTGTTGTGCATTTTCTATGTTGGAGGATAAAATTAATTATATTAAAGGTGATTCATGAGCAGATTACCAGTTCCAGTCCATTTCAGTAATAACGAGAGTCAGATAGTTAACTCTGTGGCCCTTTAGGTGATTTTGGTCATGGTCTTATTGCAGGGAAATCCTGGGCCTCCAGGACAAAATGGTTCAAAAGGAAAAGCTGGACCAAGAGGAATGAAGGTAAATGTCAGAGAATATACTCTTCCTTGATTGCAACTTGGGTTTTCTTATATGAATCTCTCCTTATATGATCCTTTCCAGCACGACTTGCTGATGTGGTTGGTGATGATAGTGACTGTCCATTACCTTAGAGCTGGACAGATGGATACAGATAAAGAAAGACATATAGACAGTCATATAGAAAGATGAATAGGTAGTCATATGTATCAGTAGACAAAGACACATCAAAAGGTAGATAAACATAGGCATTCACCATAAATGTCGTCACACACACCTAGAAAAGGCCATAGCAGTATGACATTCTGTAACTGGTGCTGTATACCTGGTTTTGATAATTTTCAATACCAAAATTTTAAATATATTTTTAATTTTTCATATTTAACAAAAGTCAAGGAAGATATTTATCTTAGACTGTAGGATGATGCCAATGAGACTTGAAAAGTGTGACTCAAATTTCTAAGAAAAATGATATAAAATTATATGAACTCATAGGGAGAAATTAATTTCATTTTTATCCTTCATTTTAAAAGGGAGAACATGGGAATGCAGGAGAAAAAGGCCCACGGGGTCAACAAGGACCAAGAGGGCAGCCTGTAAGTCTAGTTTCTCTGTTTCGGACTCTCGATTAAATTTCTTATTTATTATTTGTTCTTATTTCACATAAAATTCTAGTATTCATCATGAATATTTGGGGTAACAAATAGGACATAATCACTAGAGCTACTATGCATTTAAAGAGTCAAAGATCCTTAAACTCCTCATATAAATAAAGAATCCAAAGATGTCTCTGGGTTTATCTTGTCTTTTCACATGTTATTGAAGAGGAAAGCCAGTTAGCCTCTTCTGTTTGACAAAGATGTTTTACAAGCATTTGAGTCTTTTAGGAACACTTTCTTTTTATGCCCAATGAAACATTTTTTTTCAGGGAAACCAATAAGACAGCCAATCAGAGGTGCAAACTTTTCAGGGCATAAATTTGAGCATAGAAATACTCTTCGAAGACCAAAGATCATAAAAGGTTTACTTCAATAGATAACATTTCCAAAGACAGGGCTATGCATTTTTACCTTAGTCATTCCTCTGAGCATAAGAGCAAGTTACTATCTTAGGACTATTTTTCAATCCACACCTTACTGGAACAAACTTTACGATAACACAATAATGTTGTCTTTCCTGAAACTCATATTTCTGAGATTTCTGTTAGCAGCAGTAGCAAGGACCGGCCTCTGCTTTACACTCAGCACTGAAATTGCATTTGTTGGCAAGGAGAGAAAATAAAAGCAGGTCTAAAGAAGCTTAAACTTAAGTGTGGCAAGGGTGCCCTGGCCGGTTTGGCTCAGTGGTTAGAGCGTCGGCCTGCGGTCCAGAGAGACCCGGGTTGGGTTCCCGCTAAGGGCACATACCTCAGTTGCAGTCTGTCCCTGGCCCTGGTTGGGTTGTGCAGGTGGCAACCACTCGATGTGTCCCTTTCTGTAGATGTTTCTTTCTCTCTCTTCCCCTCTCTCCCTCCCACTGTCTGAAAAAAAAAAAAAAAATGGAAAAATGTCCTCAGGTGAGGATTAAATAAATAAATAAATAAATGTGGCAAGGGAGGGAAAAAAAAACAGAACAAGATTACTATCAAATGAAATGTAGGGCAAATAATGTTTTACATCTACACTCAATTCAGATGATGAAGTTAACACTTTTTGACTTTATTAAAATATCTTGATGTAAAAGAATGCAAAGCTTGTTCCTATTGATCTCTTTTAGGGACAGAAAAAGCCTTTTGAAGGAGTCATTTCAGGAATGTTGGAGGGTGTCGGACATCTCCAAAATACACAGTTGGGCTCTCTGGGGTTGCAGATGCTGAAGGCTCTGCATGTCCTTCAGCAGAGAGAAGCTGGAGTAACAGCAAATGAACCTCGTTTGCATCCTTCCCCCACTCCCCTATCCCCCAAATTCATTCTTGGCGATCTTCTTTATCTTATTTTCTAATATTTCAAACTTTCCTCTTTAGCTATAAGAATGATCTATGTGACTTAAAATTAAAAAAATTTTTTTTTCTCAATTAATGTACTTGATTTACATGCAGTCTTCATCCATTAAGCATAAAGCACCTTAAAGGTTCTGAATTCACTCTTTATTACAAGAACCTGGTTGTCTATAATGTACAGACACCAAGATCCCAATAGTATCATCAACATTTTCATAGTGATTATCATTAGCACTACCTCTACTTCCACCACCACGACCTCCACCCCACCAACACCACTACCACAACCAATATCACCGCCACTATCATAACCATCACAACTGTTACTACTTCCCTGCCAACATCATCACTGTTACTGCCACTATCGGCAGCCAAATAGACCACTTACCGAGTACTTTCTCTGTGCCCGGCATCATGCTAAGGACTTTCCATGCACGATCTCACTTAACCTTCCAACCATACTAGATAGATGATATTATTATCCCCATTTAACAGATGAGAAAACTGAAGCTTAGAAAGGTGGAGTAATTTACATAAGGTCACTCATACTACCAGTGTTGGAAGTGGGATAAAACATTCAGGTCTGTCTGGGTTTACAGCCTATAAGCTTATTCGCTAAACTGTATTGTCTCTCCCCCAAAGTCTGTCTTTAGCCCTAGAAATTTATCAATTATGGAACTTCTTCCTTTGTTTCTTTATCTGATAAGGAAAGCAAGTTTGTCCAAGGAGAACTTTGTACAGTAATTGGGCTTCCTACACCCATGGTATTAGCATGCTGAGATACAGACTCTTGCTGAAGAGGGGATTAAAAATTAAAGAGAATACAAAAAACTTATTTATATAATGGTCTTTAAAAACTTTAAACCCTATTCCCTCCTTATCCTTTGAAGGCAGTCTAGTGTTTATCCTATGAAACTGGGATGTACCTCCTCTCTGCCTTCCCCACCTCCTTGTACTGCTGATTTTTCCAAGGGTCCAGAAAATATTATCAAACAAGTATTGATCTGGATGACACTACAATTCATTTTGTGTCATTTTCTTAGGGTCTTTTTGGTCCTGATGGATATGGACATCCAGGAAGGAAAGGAAAAAAGGTGAGAGTTACCTTATAAAGTGTTCTGAACTAAAGACCATAACTTTTATTTTATTTTACTAGAATAAGAGTTATTACTCAACTGGCATGCCAAGAATGGTTTCTAGCCCTGGCCAGTTTGGCTCAGCGGTTGAGTGTTGGCCTGTGGACCAGAGAGTCCCAGGTTTGGTTCCTGCTAGGGGCACGTACCACAAAAAAATAAAAGAATGGTTTCTACATGATGTTTATGACATGTTGCTAATGCCAGAGTTCCCTCCTTAAAAAAATAAAAGCCGATTTTGTCACTCCCTTATTTAAAAATCAAACTCATTACCTCTTCTTCTACCTACACCAGATATTCCTACTCCAGCTCTGGGCAAGCCAGGTTCGATCCCAATTCCTTGCCTTTGCAAAAACACTCTTGCCTCTATTTGGGATGTCCTTCCCTATCTCCATCCTTTGGACAATTTCTACTCATTTTCTAAAACCAACTCAGATGTCAACTTCTCCTTGTGGAATACAGAATTTGTTGTCTTATATTCTGTATTCTCAAAGCACATTGTTCATATTTCTACAGAATACTATGATTTACTGAGGTTCTACTATCATTTATTCCTGCATATTTATCTACTTCCCAGGTTGTGTGCTTGATAGCAGAACTGCATCTTACTCATTTTTGCTTTGCTGAAACAGAGCCTGGCACAGAGTAGGTGCTCAATAAGTATATTTAAGAAGCTGGCATTTTAACATGCAGTTAATGGGTTACTGACAGAGGTTTTGAAGCATGGAAGTCACATGAATCTTGTGAAGCAAATCAAATATCAATAGCTGCAGTTATTATTGGTGCTTAGCTTGCAAGTTACATTTATTGCTTCACAAAATACATCACTGGGATGTTTAGTGATGCTTAGCTGCTCAACAATGTCAGGACTCTGGGCTGGCTTCCCTGCAATTCTCTTATTTCATTTGTGGCTGCCATTGTATTGAGCAGGAAAATGCCCACCATAGTGATCCCTTAGTAAATATCTGTGAAACAATGAACAGTGTGGGACCGCGGTGATCATGTAATTCAGCCTTGTTAATTTACAGACAAGAAAATTGAGACTCAGGGAAGTGTGGTAACTTGCCTGTGGTCACATAGCTAGTTAGACAGAGCTCAGTATGGAAACTAGTTCGCTGGAGCTTCATCCTGCCTTTCTTCTCTAGGGAAGAGTTTGTATAACAAGGAATTCTGGGTAGAATTCAAATATGCATGTTTTGAGCCACATACCAGCCCCAAGCTAAGCATAAGGGCAGTCGATGCTTATTGTGATACACTTAACATTGTGGAACACGCAGATTCACTCCACATCTGCGTGAATTTTTCCTGGGAAGTCATAATGGTCACACTTTAAATGGCCCTTATTGCTGCTTGGCCAGCAGATTACATTTTTTTAGTCTGTTCACTCTCCTCTTCTCTGAGTGATCTGTTTCATACATTTTCCTTTCCACAGATCATTCCCAGTAGAAAAAGAGGTGGGAATAACTCATCTAAGAAAATCCCAAAACGAAAACGAAACCCTCTCTTAAGTACATACTTTCATTGCTCCATTTCTCCCTGGAAACTCTTTAAAGGAGCAGGTCTATACCCATGGTTCTCCTTCAGGGGAGATTTAACCCTCCAGGGGACATTTGGCAATGTCTGGTGGTATTTTGGTTGTCACAACAGGGGGAGGGGATGCTATAGGCATCTAGTCAGTAGAGGCTAGAGACAACTGTTCATCTTATAATCCATGGGACAGCTCCTCACAACAAAGAACCATTAGGTCCCAAATGTCAGTAGTGCTGGGTTTGAGGAGCTTCACTTTCTTCCCTCTGGTTCTCTCTAACTGATGACAGTTGAGCCGTCACCCCTCAGCTCTCCCCACACAGCTACACACTTTATTGAGGTAAAACCCATGGTGCTAACTCTGCTGGTCAGTCCTCTGCCCTCATCATATTCCACATATTCTCAGCAGCGTTTGGCAAAGATGATTGTGGGCTTGTTCTTGAACCCTTTCCTCTCATCTTCCAGAACACCCCACTTCCCTAGTTTTCACTGGCTGTTGGGTCTTCTGAAATGTTCTTGACGTCTAAATATGGAAAGATTCAGGGCTCTCTCCTCATATTTTTCTCCCTCTTTACTCTTTCTTTAGGTGACCTTTTTCAGTCCCATGACATCAAGTACCATCAATCCGGTGATCATTTCTCCAGCTTGGACCAATCTCTTAAACTCCAAATGTTTCCACTTGTTTATCTAATAGGCACCTTAAAATTGGCATGTTCCAAAACAACATTTCTCTTTTTGGTTTGTGAACCTTTTATTACGGAAAAATTCAAACATATATACAAGTGGAAAGACATATAGCAATACCTCCCATGATGGATCCTTTACCTAGCTCAAACGATGCAAAACCCTTGACCAATTTTGTTTTATTTTATTTCTACTCTCACCCACTTACTGACACACCATTTTTTAAAGCAAATCTCAGATATCACATGTTTCATGCATAAATATTTCAAGATGCATCTCTAAAATATTCTTTAAAAATATAATAACCACAATACCATGATCATATCTAAGAATCAACAGTTATCCTTTAATATCATCAAACATCCGGGAATTGCCCTGGCTGGTGTTGCTCAATGGTTAGAGTATCAGCCATGCACCAAAGGGTTGTGGGTTAGAATCCCTGTCAAGGGCATATATCTGGGTTGCAGGTTTGTTCCACAGCCCCAGTCGGGGCATGTGTGAGAAACAACCAATGGATCTGTCTCTCTTACATCGATGTTTCTCTCTTTCTTTCTCCCCCTCCCCAGCATCCCTCCCTCCCTTCTACTTCCTCTAAAAATCAATGAAAAAAATATCCTCTGGCGAGGATTAACAAAAAACAAACAAATAAAAAATATTCATGAGTCAAAACTGATTCCGCTGACAACATGCTCCTCCTCCGGCCTGCCCTGTCCCAGAGGAGGAGACTGTGTCCTGCCAGTTGCTCAAGACGGACGCTTGCACCATCTTTAATAAGTTTCTTTCTCTAACCCTCTAAATCTAATCCGTCAACAAATAATGGTGAGTCTACCTTCAAAATATATCCAGTATTTCATCACTTCTCACCTTACCCGCTGCCACCCTCTGGGCCAAGGCAACATGATTTTCCACCTGAATTACCGCAATAGCCACCTAACTGATCTCTCTGCTTCCACCCTTGCCTCACCTAGTTAGTTCTTCATGTAGCAACCAGAACCTTCTTTCTTTATAAAAAAAAATTTATCTTTATTGTTGCAAATATTACAGATGTCCCTCCTTTTTTTCTCCCATTGACACCTTCCTCCCTGTTCCTGCACCCCCTGCCTTCACCACACTGTTGTCTGTGTCCATTGGTTATGCATACATGCATGTAAGTTGTTTGGTTTATCTCTTCTTGGCCCCCCTCCCTTCCCTCTGAGGTTTGTTAGTCTTTTCCCTACTTCCATATCTCTGGCTCTATTTTGTTTGTCAGCTTATTTTGTTCATTATATTCCACAAATAAGTGAGATCATGTGATACTTGTCTTTCTCTGACTGGCTTATTTCACTTAGCATAATACTCTCAGGTCCCTCGATATCATCTCAAAGTGTAAGAGGTCTTTCTTACAGTTGCATAGTATTCCATTTTGTGTACATGTACCACAGCTTTTTTATCTACTCATCTACTGATGGACACTTGGGCTGTTCCCAGATCTTAGTTACTGTAAATAGTGCTGCTTTAAACACAGGGGTGCATAAATTCTTTCTGATTGGTGTTTCTGGCTTCTTAGGATATATTTCTAAAAGTGGGATCATTGGGTCAAATGACAGTTCCATTTTTAATTTTTTGAGGAATCGCCATATTGTTTTCCATAGTGGCTGCACCAGTCTGCATTCCCACCAGCAGTGTACTAGAGTCCCCTTTTCTCCACATGCTTGCCAGCACTGGTTGTTTGAAGATTTGTTGATGGCTGTCATTTTGGCAGGTGTGAGGTGATACCTCATAGTCATTTTAATTTGCATCTCTCTGATGATTAGAGATATTGAGCATTTTTTCATATATCTCTTAGACATTTGTATGTTCTCTTTGGAGTAGTGTCTATTCCTCCATGGGTCCTCTGCCCATTTTTAACTTTTTTTCTTTTTTTAAAAATCTTATTGTTGAATGTATTATAGATGTTCCTCATTTTTCCCTCATTGACCCCCTCCTTCCCCCTCCCATCCCCCTCCTGCCTTTTCCCACAATGTTGTCTGTGTCCATTGGTTATGCATATATGCATATGAGTTCTTTGGTTTATTTCTTCTCACCCCCCAACCCCCCTTCCCTTTGAGGTTTGTCAGTCTAACAACCAATTTGTTCTTCTTAATCCCTTAACCTTTTTCACCCATTTCCCCATCCCCTGTCCCATCTGGCAACCAACAAAATGTTCTCTATATCTATGAGAATGTTTCTGTTCTGCTTGTTCATTTTATTTGTAGATTCAATTGTTGATAGCTATGTATTCATTGCCATTTGTTTGTTCATATTTTTAAATCTTTTCTTCAAGAAGACCCTTCAACATTTCATATAATGGTTTGGTGGTGATGAACTCCTTTAGTTTTTCCTTGCCTGGGAAACTCTTTAAATGGCCATAAATTCTAAATGACAGCTTTGCAGGATAGAATAGGTTTTTGCTTTTCATCACTCCCTTCTGGCCTGCAAAGTTTCTTTTGAGAAATCAGCTGACAGTCTAATGGGAACTCCCTTGTAGGTAACTAACTGCTTTTCTCTTGTTGCTTTTAAGATTTGTCTTGAACCTTTTGCATTTTGATGATGATGTGTCTTGGTGTGGGCCTCTTGAGGTTCATCTTGTTTGGGACTCTCTGTGCTTCCTGGATGTGTATGTCTGTTTCCTTCACCAAGTTAGGGAAGTTTTCTGCCATTATTGTTTCAAATAGTTTTCTATTTCTTCTCCTCTCTCTTCTCCTTCTGGCACTCCGAAGATGCGAATGTTGGCACGCTTGAAGTTGTCCCAGAGGCTCCTTACACTATCCTCATTTTTTTGGATTCTTTTTTCTTTTTGCTGTTCTGATTAGGTGTTTTTTTGCTTCCTTATATTTCTTATATTAAAGGAAGTTTCCTCCACCCATTTTTTAATTGGGTTCTTTGTCTTCCTTTTGTTGATTTGTATGAGCACTCCATATATATTGAAAATTAACCCCTTATCTGATACATCATTGGCAATTATGCTCTCCCATACAGTGGGTTCCCTTTTCATTTTGATGCTTTTTTTTTTTTTTTCTGTGCAGAAGCTTATAAGTTTGTGTAGTTCTATTTATTTATTTTATTTATTTATTTACCTTTGTTTCTCTTGCTCTAGGTGATATATCAGTAAAAATTCTGCTTTATGTAATGTCTGCAGTTTTGCTGCCTATGTTTTATTCTAGGATTTTTATGGGTTCATGACTTATATCTAAGTTTTTAACCATTTTTAGTTTACTGCTGTGTAGGGTGTAAGTTGGTGATCTAGTTTCATGTTTTTGCATGTATCCGTCCAATTTTTCCAACACCATTTATTGAAAAGACTGTCTTTACTCCGTTGTATGCTCTTGCCTCTTTTATCAAATATTAATTGGGCATACTGTCTTGGGTTGCTTTCTGGTTTCTCTGTTCTGTTTCATTGATCTGTATGCCTTCTCTTGTGCCAGTACCAGCCTGTTTTAATTACAGTGGCTTTGTGGTACAACCTAATGTCTGATATTGTGATCTCTCCAACTTTATTCTTCTTTTTCAAGATTGCTGTGGCTAATCAGGGTCTTTTTTAGTTCCATATAAACTTTTGGAGTTTTTGTTCTAGTTCTGTGAAGTATGCCTTTGGTATTTTAATAGGGATTGCCTTGAATCTATATATTGCTTTGGGTAGTATGATCATTCCAATGGCATTAATTCTTCTAATCCATGAACATGGTATACACTTCCATTTTTTTGTTTTCCTCTGTTTCTTTTTTCAATGTCCTGTAGTTTTCTGAGAACAGATCTTTTTCCTTCTGGTTAAGTTAATTCCTAAGTATCTTAATTTTTTTGTTGCAATGGTAAATAGGATTGCGTTTTGGTTTCTCTTTCTGAGAGTGTTCATTATTGCTGTATAAGAGTGCCGTCAATTTCTGGATATTAATTTTGTATCCTGCTACTTTGCTGAATTCATCCATTAAATCTAATAGTTTTTTGGAGTCTTTAGGGTTTTTTATGTTCAATATCATGTCTTCTTAAAATTATGACAGTTTCACTTCCTCCTTTTCAATTTGGATGCCTTTCATTTTTTCATCTTGTTTGATTGCTGTGGCTAAGACTTCTAGTACTATGTTGAATAAGAGTGCAAAAAGTGGACATCCCCATCTTGTTCCTTTTCTTAAGAAAAAGGCTTTTAGTTTTTGTTTATTGAGTATGATGTTGCCTGTAGGTTTGTCATATATGGCCTTTATTATGTTGAGGTATGATCCCTCTATTCCTACTTTGCTGAGAGTTTGTATCAAAAATGGGTGCTGGATTGCCAGAGCCTTCCTTTAAACACATAGTCAAATCATGTCAACTCCTTTTTTTCAAAGCCCATTTTTGGCTCCTCATATCTTTCAGAAGTAACCCCACTGTTCACAAGGCCTACAAGACTCTACAGCATCTAGCCCCTCTTTGAACTTTCTTAGTGTGTCTCCTCCTGTTCTCCCCACTCCAACCCCATCCTGCTTCAGTGTTCCTCAAGCCTTAGATACATTCATACTCTTGCCTTGGGGATTTTTACATGTTCTTTCCTCTGACTGGAATGCTCTTCTCTCAGATATCTGCTTGGCTTGCTTCCTCAATTTATGCTGGTCTTTGCCCAGATGCTACCTTTACCAAAAGGCTTTGTCTGACCACCTTATATAAAATAGTTACCCCATTCCCTCATTCACCTGTGTCATTCTTCATCCCTTAATTCCCTTTTTGGAATAGCATTCATCTCTTTCTGATGTATTATACATTTCTTCCTCACATGTGGTAAGTTCCATGATAGCTATGGTCTTTGTTCTGTTTGTTCACTGCTGAATTCCCAGTGCTTAGAGACATGCCTGGCACACAGAAGTAATAAATAAATATTTGTTGAATGAATAATTGTTTTGTTTTGTTCCTTTGATCTGACAATGAGAACCTGCTTCACAACAGTCAATTTGGTGCTCTTCCTTTTGGTTTCCATGGGATCAGACCTCTGATTTTTAAGCCGATATCTAAAAATTCTTAAGGCGGTTTTATTACACAATATATCAAGGAGGTGGTAGAATTTGTAATAATCATTTGCAAATTGTTTCACGATGAATTACAGGAATAAAATATGGTCACTTCGGAGTAGCTCATGATAACTCTTGATATAGTTGTTTTTATTTTTCTGGCATCTGTTTTGAGTCTTCTTCAAAGTTATAATTTTTTATTTTTCTCTGAGGAATGTCAAAAAAATACTTAATCACATGACATTAAATCAAAACCTTATCTCATTTCTGACACTAGGGTGAACCTGGATTTCCTGGCTATCCTGGCACAAAAGTAAGAAAATATCTTTCTGGGCCTGGCAACTGGTATGCAGCATGTGTTATTTGTTTGTATATTTTTCTTTACATTCAAGATTTTGCTTTCAATTCTTTTAAGGGAGAAGATGGTGATCTGGGCCACCGAGGAGAAGAGGGGGCAAAGGGAATCAGAGGGAAGAGGGTAAGAATCAAAGGAATTTCCCAAGATCTATAAAGGCCTACATCCTACATCTACTCATAGGGGCATATTTCCATTGGTTTAATGGACTTCTTAGCAGGAAGCCCATGTCTTCTGTAAGCAGGCACATTTCACACTTTCCTTGGGATACTTCACTTTCCCACTTAATTCCACTCTCATTTATCTTCTGAATGCAAATGCAGCTCCCCAAACCATAACAGAAAATCCAAGTTGGAGTTTTAGTTATGTAATATCAACCTTTAAAAAAATAAGTTTGGAGGCACCTCTGTCTTTGGTAAGCCCAGATATCATTTGGAAGGGTATTATTTTAGCTGCAGAGCAAACACTGTTTCTTTGCAATTCTTTCAAGCCTTATTTTTCTCTTAGCTTTTTAAGACTACACTCTCAAGAATGTGGCTGCCATCTTGGTGGACTTTGAGTCATACTTTCACTGTGCTTTATAGGGTCTACCATTAAAAATCAATTTCTTCAGTTTCTGAACATTCAATCTTGAAGAGCCACAATTACTGGCAGTTCTTTTTGGAAAGAATAACCCTGTGGTTATCTAAAACCTTGGTAGTGTTTAGCTGATAGACATTTGAGAGCAAGGCCTCTGGGAAAAGGACATGGACCAATGTTCAGTGAAGAAGAGAAGAAAGGAAAGAGAATGTATATTTTCTAGGAACTCAATTATTGCTATTGTCATACACTGACAAAGTCATAAAGAAAAATTTGATCTATGTCTAACTTGGCTTGCTGCTAGCTAAAACTGTTCTGCTCAGCTAAACTTACCTCTCTGATTTCAAATAAAAAAAAAAGATAAAATATCAATCACATGCAGATAATACCGTGTCAGTTCACATACCTGTAAGATGAGCAGTGAATCCATGATTAGCATATAACTTTTCTCATAAACTGAAGACCAGAAGGTGGTGGAGGAGCTTTTTCTTTCTCTTGATGCCATGTCTTCAATGCATACTTTATGTACTCTTTTAATTATATGACCAGGAGGCTCAACTAAATATGACATTCTTTAAGGCTGTTTGGAAGGGTGTGTTTGTGTGCATGTGTACATGTTGGCGAGAATTAGGTATGTAGGGGGGATTTAAATGGTTCTCATAAAGAGATCCCCTCTCCTTCTAGTCTCTGTGTCTCACTCCATTGATAACAGTTCATGAACTAACTGGTATATAGCAGACTCACTGTATCTTAGATATAATGACAACTTGATACCTCAAAGTGTTGGTTTTAATCAAGTTATATTCAAGGATGGAAGCTTATTCTTTTGATTGGTCATTTTTAGGGTAATGCTGGCTATCCAGGATTTGTTGGAACTCCAGGTGACCAAGGCCCTCCAGGACCACGGGTAACATGAACTCCTCTCCTTTCTCTTATTTTCAACCTTTATGTAAAATGAATAAAGATTTATAAGAGACATCTCTAAGAAAAAAATAAACATTTGGGACACACAGAGGATCTATTAGAAAATGGGTCAGATTTGCTTTACATTCGCTTTAACTCCTTATAGAGTATATTTATTCAATATAAATGGTTTGTTTGAAGATGGGGCAGATATTAGAGTGGCTGAAGATGTATGAGTCTGTCAAAATACATAAAACAATACATTAAACTCATGGGAGAATAAGTTTATCAGTGTAAACAAGATGAGCAACAACATGTATGCCAAAACTAGAAGGAAATACTAACATAATAGGACATTTATATAATCTTAATTGAACTGACAATGTTGCAAGCCCACAGATATTTTTTAAATTCCCTGGAAGGTCATTTGGTATGAAAGGAAAGACTTGGGGCTATTGTTGTTTTGCTCCATGGCTCATCCTAGGTCACTAGGCTGTCATTCCATGAGGGATTGCACAGTGAGTTAGCGGTGGGTTGAACCTGGTGGTGTCACTGCAGTGTAGGGCTTATTGGAGAAGTACAACAAAGTCATAGAATTAAAAAAAATCTTAGAAACAGAACTACCCATGCCTATTTTTCAGATGAGGAAACAAAGGTTGAGAAGTTTATAGTAACCTGCCTAAAGTCACAAATTACTACCTTGTAGAGTCTAAATAAGGCAGCTCTATTCTGAAACCCAGGAAGATTTGTTCATTCCTTCGCAGAGAGCTAGCATGGGGGTGGGTGGCCAAAGGAGAAAGGGTAGAGGAGGACTGGGTTCTAGTCTAGAACTGCCTATAAAATGGTCCTGAGATCTTGGCCTTTTCCTGAATTTTATCCTAAATTGTGGCTTCGTCTCAAAATTACTTGATCTTCTAAAGTTATGTACCATGTGCCTGGGCATCCTGGACTCCCAAGTCCTGGGACACACCTCCTAAGCACTCTGACCTCCTTCTTTAAGGAGTCAGACAGAACTCCGGGGCTGGGAGCAAAGGGCAGAACGTAGTTTATGTACTGTGGTGAACTTTATCAGAACCTCTTGTCAATTCAGGATAACACTATTGGACCTCAGAATTTTTTATTTTAAACATGTTTCTCTTCTTTCTAGGGCATCAAGGGTCCCAGAGGCTTGGCAGATATGATGGTAGGTAAAGATTTTAATTCTAAACTTTATTCTTTTCAGAACACAAAGCTTTCTACTTCGACAAAACAGAAATCTATAAAGATTCTTTAGTTTTGCCTCTTACAATTTTGTTAGTACTTTAAGTTTATAGACTTGACTCTGAAATGTTCTAACCAAATCAAATAAATGTAGTAGAATAATATTTTAAATCCTGGAGGGACTATAGATGCTTTTGAGCAATACGAGTTGACATGAAAAGAAAGACTGAGGCCACTCCCCTACACAATATGCTTTTTTGTCAAGTTCAAAAATTGCTTATAAAGTATTTATAAGCCAACACTGACCTTTGTGTCTCATGGCACACCTGAAAACAATCTCAAAAGTTATGGTGGTTTTTCATTTTCCAAGTTCAGAAATACTATTGTGGGATTGGGGAGGAAGTGAGGACGACTGAGTAGCAGGAAGTGGTGGGTTGAGGGAAGAACAGACAGACAGGAAGGGACTAAAGGAGTGAAGTAGTCTTCTAGGGGAGGGGTCAGGAGACCCTGCCTTGCAGTCATTCTAAAGAAGTGTACCAGGAATTGCTAATATAGAGATCCAAAACTTGAAGTAATTTCTCTGCCCTCTATATTGAGATTCCTGGATTTAAACTTCTTCAAAATCAGATTTGATTTCTTTGCTTTGTGAGGTAGAGAATAAAAGAGAAAAAAAAAATGAATTCCTTTATCTACCTATTTCTAGTAATATGGGCACTATATTATATGTACAATATTTTAAAATATCCATTGGACCCATAAATATAACTGCTGTATAATTTTATTGCTATAACAATTTTTATGTTTTCTGTGGCAGCTTAAAAAGCTTTGAATAGGCACAGATAATATCCATATGAGATTTCTAAGTCACAAGGGTGAGGAGGAATATACTTCAAATGAAATAATTTTTTCTTTTTTCTCTCTTTCTCTGTTTCTAACAGCCTTGTGAAATCATCAATTTCACACGAGAAAACTGCCGTAAGTTGTTTGGAAAAGCTCAAAAGGAGCCAGTGGTGTGAAATGGGGATGAATCATGGATTGGGGACATAAGTCACCATGGATTTGACTGAGGTTTGGGAGGTGCCATTGTCCATCATGAAAGGTTCCTGTAAATGAATATATTTAGCTCATTCCCCCCCCCCCCCCCTTGGGTAATTAATCTTCCTCAGTGTGGTCTTAGAAATGAAATGATCAAAAGGCATGTCATCTCAGTGGTGGAGAAAATTCTACTGTACAGTATGGAACCTCATGTAATGCAATGATGATTGCACTCCTGCATGTCTGCATCTTAGTGCTTCTTATCCCAAAACAAGCAAAGAGAAGCTTTGTTCTTTTAATTTTATCAATTTAAGCAGGAGGGATCAATGGTGAGCTTTCAAGAAGAAATGTGTCCTATTTTATATACACTTATGTTTTAAATATGGAATTATGAATAATCAAATCTTAAGTTACTACATTCTCAGATTGTAATTTTTTCACTGTCTTCAATGTATTCCAGGATATTTGTAACCTTTTATCAACACATTTATTCACTTACTGGAAATAGGGAGAGAACACTGATTTTGCAAATTGCATAGTTTGGGAGCTTGGGTTTTCTCCACAATCATCCTACCCCTCTTACTCTATCTAGTGCATACATATTCTGTTCATTCCCATCCAGTTGCTGCCCAGGGAGATTATGAAATCCTATTTCCTAGAAATCATAAAGAATAATACCATCATCTTGACCACCAAGGAAAAGAGTGTCAGAGTTGGCCATATAAAAAGTGAAAACCTCTTGCCCTGGCCAGTTTGGCTCAGTGGTTAGAGTGACAGCCCACAGACCAAACAGGGGTGGGTATGATTCCAGTCAAGGGCAAGTACCTCAGTTGCAGTTCATCCCCGGCTCTGGTCAGGGTTGTGCAGGAGGCAATCAGTCGATGTGTTGCTCTCACATCGATGTTTCTCTCTCTCTCCCTCGCTCTCTCCCTCTCCCTCTCTTCCTCTCTCCCTTCCTCCCCCTCTATCTAAGACAGATGAAAAAATATCCCCCGGTGAGGATTAAAAAAAAAGTGAAAACCTCTTTATGTTGAAAAGCAAACAGAAAAATAGAAAAAAAAATGGCAATATAAGCAATGGACCCCAGCAAAGAACCTAGCCTCCTTACTCTATCAATGTCAAGATATATAAAATTGCTGCTACTCAAGTATTTGTATCAAATGATTCATACAAATACAGATATTTCATAGTTGCTAAACAGAAATGTAAAAAACTCTTTTAGATAGAAAATGGGCAAAATACATGAATGGAGGATTCAGAGAAGAAAGCCTACAAATGAACAATAAACCCATGAAAATGTTTGATCTCACAAGAAGTCAGAGAAAACATATCCAAACGAGATATTCTTTGTGTTTCTCAAATTGGAAATTTTATTTATTTATTTATTTATCCTTACCTGAGAATATTTTCCAATCGATTTTTAGGTAGAGTGACAGGAAGGGAGGAAGAGATGAGGGTGGGGAGGTGGGGAGGGAAACATTGATGTGAGAGAGACACCTCGAGTGGTTGCCTCCTGCATGACCCTGATCAGGCTGGGGATTGAACTGCAACCAAGGTATGTGCCCTTGACCAGAAATCCAACCTGTGACTCTTTGGTCCACGGGCTGAAGCTCTAACTATTGAGCCAAACTGGCCAGGGCTGGAAATGCATTTCAAATAACAAAAACACCACATACCAAATTTGGGAAATGTATAAAAGTATTCATTGTAGGGAAGATTGTCAATTGGTACAACTTTTCTGAAGTACAGTTAGACAATGCACATCAAAAGCCATATGATTGAGATTTCTATAGGGCTACAACTGGAAAAATACGCACAGAGACATGTGCAAGTATGCTCATCACATAGGGATGTTGGTAGAGGAAACCATGAGACATCTTTTAGTAGAATAGGTGCCATTGCTCTAAAACAACAAATGCCTGTTGTATACTAAGTGTAAAAAGGTTCAGAATAGGACATATCCTAAACTCTAAGTTGTGGAACTTATGATGAATTAAGGATAATTTTAATTTTTTGTCTTATAATATTTTCCATAAAATATATTACTTGCATACACACATTTATATGTACTATATATACAATTTATTATATGTATTTATAATATATTATTATATATTAACTTTAGAATAGTGTATTAGTTAGATTTAAGTTCAGTACATGTGAGCTTGGTGCTCAACAGCAATGACACAAATGTATTTCTCAAAGCCTGGAAGTAGCCATTCCATAATATGGAGCTCCAAGGGGTTCAGGGATGCAGGCTTTTCATATTTTCTTGCTCTGCCACTGGGGAGAGGGTGCAGTGCTTCTCAAATTACCTCATGGTCTGAGATGTCTGTGAAGCTTCCACTGGCAAGAATAGGAAAGGAAAGGAAAATGATGCTTTTTTGAAGTTGTATCTACCACACTTCTTTTTTTCTTTTTCTTTTTTTTTTATCCTCACCCGAGGACATTTTTCCATTTTTTGTTCAGGTAGAGTGGGAGGGAGAGAGAGGAACAGAGAGAGAGAGAGAAACACCGATGTGAAAGGAACACATCGAGTGGCTGCCACCCGCACAACCGACCAGGGCACAACCGACCAGGGCCGGGGACAAACTGCAGCCGAGGTACGCGCCCTTAGCGGGAACCGAACCCGGGTCTCTCAGGACCGCAGGCCGACGCTCTAACCGCTGAGCCAAACCGGCCAGGGCTCTACCACACTTCTTATTCTATTATCTGAAACTTAGTAAGATGGTTGCTCCACAGGCACAGGAATTCTGTTCCAGGCAGCTGTGTGCCCAGCCAGAGATTGGGATTCTCTTACTATAGAAAAAAGGGAGAATGAACATAGGGAGCAATTAGAGGTCTCTGCCATACTCAGGCAGGAGCTGGAGAAGGCCAGCCCCTGGATTTCCCAGAGGAGACGATTTTTCATTCTGAAGCACTCATAGGGACAACATACCACTACTTATGTAAACTAACAATGTCCTCTTTTCTCTCCAAAATAATTTCCCTTCCAGCTTGCTCAACAGGTAATTAATATTTCTTCTTATTCTCTCAAATCTTGACTTGCTAGGGGCGTTGCACAAGATCTTAATCTATGTATTCATGTGTTAAGGTGTTTCCAAGTGCCCAGTGTTCCCAACTGAAGTGGTCTTTGCCTTGGACATGTCAAATGATGTTTCTGAGTTGGATTTCGAGAGGATGAGAGACATTTTATTGTCTCTGTTGATGAAGATGGAAATAAGTGAGAGCAACTGCCCAACGGGTGCCCGAGTGGCCATCGTTTCATACAACAAAAAAATAGATCACTTGATTCGCTTCTCGGACTCTAAGGGAAAGCCTGCACTCCTTCAGGCAGTCAGGAAAATCCCTCTGGAAAGGTCATCTGGCAACAGGAACCTTGGGAACGCCATGAGGTTTGTGGCAAGACACATATTCAAACGTGTGCGCTCAGGCCTTCTCATGAGGAAGGTGGCTGTGTTCTTCCAGGCGGGCTGGGCCCATGATGTGGATTCCATCAGCACGGCCACACTGGAGCTCAGTGCGCTGGACATTATCCCTGCCGTCATCACCTTCACAGAGGAGCACAACCTCCCAGACGCACTGGTGGTATGTGGAGGAACTTCTTAGGAGGGCCAGGGGAACTGGGGCGGTTAGTACATGGTCCTTATCCCTCCATCAAGGATCATATGAGATATGAAAGCTGTTCAGGGAAAGAATTTCCTGGAAATTGTTGTGTATGCATGGAGGTGTGTGTGTCTCATTATGGACTCTACTATTCGTGCTGGCTGGCCATTCTTGAGCACTTATTCTGTTCTACATGCCTCATAAACATTATCTTATTTAATTATCTCCAAAACTCTATAATGTAGGTTTATTGTATGTATCTCCATTTCAGAAATAAGAAAACCGAGGCTTAGGGAGGTTAAGTCTGTCATTGAAAGTCAAGTATCTAGTTAGTGGCAGACTGATATTATCTGCTTTCAGAGCCTATCCTTAACCACTAGCCTAAATTGTATCATGGGGGGTCCACAGAATGTAATTTTCTTTTTTCACTTGGCGTATAAAATACATATCCATATAGAAAAGCAGGTAAGGGGTGCCAATTTTTAGTGAAGAGCTGGTTGGGTTTTTATATATGCTTGAACTTAACCCCAAGATTTGTTTCAAGATACTAAATATTTTCAGCATCCTGTAAATTTTTTTTATGTCCCTTCCCATACCATACATTCCCCAGAGTCACTGCTCTGCTGACTTCTATCACAATCAATTAGTCTGACCTGTTCTGGACCTTCGTAGAAGTTGAATACTATGGTATTACTCTTTCGTACCTGGCTTCTTTCACTCAACATCATGTCTGTTCTTTTTGTTCATCGATGTTGTATATATGGGTATCCTGTTATTTTTTTTAATTGCGGTTCTGAAGTATTTTAGTGTGTGTATACACCACAATTTATTTACCTATTCTCCAGACTTTACTCTTGTAACCAAAACCCATGTAACACATTCTCATAGAATATCTGACATGAACTATCAAAATGAAGTTAATCTCTCTCTTTCTTTGCTTTTATTTCTTTATTTATTTTTCTTTTTTAATTGAATTTATTGAAGTGTTTGTGTGTGTGTGTGTGTGTATGTGTGTGTGTGTGTGTTGAGTTTTAGAAGTTCTTTATGCATTTTGGATATTAACCGCTTATCAGATGCATCATTGGCAAATATGTTCTCCTATTAATTGGGTTGTCTTTTTATTTTGTTGATGGTTTTCTTTATTGTGCAAAAACTTTTTAGTTTGATGTAGTCCTATTAGTTTATTTTTTCTTTTGTTTCCCTTGCCTGGGGAGATTTATCAGAAAAAAATATTGCTACGAGTAATATCTAAGATTTTACTGCCTATGTTTTCTTCTAGGATTTTTATGATTTTGAGTCTAATATTTAAGTCTTTAATCCATTTTGAGTTTATTCTGTGTATAGTGTAAGAAGGTAGTCAAGCTTTGTTTTTTTTTTGCACATATCTGTCCAATTTTCCCATCACTATTTATTGAATAGATTATCTTTACCCCATTGTATGTTTTGGACTCCTTTGTCAAATATTAATTGACCATAAAGGCATATGTTTATTTCTGGGCTCTCTATTCTGTTTCATTGATCTATATGTCTGTTTTTATCCCAGTACCATGCTGTTTTGATTACTGTGGCCTTGTAGTATAGTTTGATATCAGGTAGCATGATTCCTCCAACTTCGTTCTTCTTTCCCAAGATTGCTGTGGGTACTTGGGTCTTTTGTGGTTTCATACACATTTTTGGAATATTTGTTCTAGTTCTGTGAAATGTGCCATTAGTATCTTGATAGAAATTGCATTAAATCTATAGATTGCTTTGGGTAGTATGGACATTTTGATGTTAATTCTTCCTCTTCATGACCACGGTATATACTTCTGCTTATTTGTATCTTCAATTTCTTTATTCAGTGTCTTACAATTTTTCAAGTACAGGTCTTTTACATCCTTGGTTAAATTTATTCCTAAATATTTTATTTTTTGGATGCATTTCATTTCTTCTTCTTGTCTGATTGCTGTGGCTAAGAATTCCAATAAGGTAAAAGCAGATATCCTTGTTTTGTTCCTGATCTTAAAGGAAACACTTGCAGTTTTTGCCCATTGAGTATGATATTGACTGGATTTTTCATACATGGTATATTAAAAAAAATTTTTTCTTTATTGATATTAGAGAAAGAGAGAGAGGAAGGAAAATGGAGAGAGAGATAGAAATATCGATGAGAGAGAACATCGATTGGCCACCTCCTGCATGCCCCCCACTGGGGATTCGGCTCACAACCTGGGCATGTGCCCTAACTGGGAATCGAACTGGTGACCTCTTGGTGCATGGATTAATGCTCCACCACTGAGCCACACTGGCCAGGCTCATATATGGTCTTACAATGAGAGTTTGCTGAGAGTTTTTATCATAAATGGATGCTGAATTTTATCAAATGCTTTTTCTACATCTATTGATGTGATCACATGGTTTTTATCCTTCATTTTGTTTATGCAATGTTTCACATTTATTGATTTGCAGATATTTTACCAACCTTGCATCCCTGAAATAAACTCCACTTGATCATGGAGTATGGTCTTTTTTTTTTTTTTAATGATTTCTTTTTTAAATTCTCACCTGAGGACATGCCTAGACAGAAAGGGAGGAAGGGAATGAGGGAGAGAGGGAGGGAGAGAGAGAGGGAGATAGAGAAACATTGATGTGAGAGAGAAACATTAATCAGCTGTTCTCCATTCATTCCTCAACAGTGGTCAAACTGGTAATCCAGGTATGTGCAGGATTCAAAGTGATATCCTTTTGGTGCATAGAATGACTCTCAACCAACTGAGCCACTCCAGCTGAGCTGATCTTTTTAGTGTATTGCTGGATCTCGTTTGCTAGTATTTTGTTGAAAATTTCAGTATCTATGTTCATCAGGGATATTGGCCTGTAATTTTCTTTCTTTGTAGTGTCTTTATCTGATTTTGGAATTAGGATAAGGCTGGCCTCATAAAATGAGTTTGAGAGTTTTCCCTCTTGAATTTTTTGGAATAGTTTGTAAAGGATAGGTGTTCTTTGAATGTTTGTTAAAATTTCCCTGTGAAGCCATGTGGTCCAGGGCTTTTGTTTGTTGGGAGATTTTTTATAACTGCTTCAATTTCACTAGTAGTAATCCGTTTATTCAGATTCTCTGATATTTCCTGACTCAGTTTTGGAAGATCGTATGTTTCTAGGAATTTATCCATTTATTTCAGGTTGTTCAATTTGTTGGCATACAAATTTTTATAATATTTTCTTACCACCCTTTGTATTTTTTTAGTGTCAGTTGTTATTTCTTCTCTTTTGTTTCTGACTTTATTTATTTGGGTCCTCTCTATTTTTTCCTGATGAGTCTAGTTAAAAGTTCGTCATTCTCATTTGTCTTTTCAAAGAACCAGCTCTTGGTTCAATTGATCTTTTATATTGCCTTTTTAGACTCTATTTCCTTTATTTATGCTCTGGTCTTTATTATTTCCTTTCTTTTACTCACTTTGGGCTATGTTAGTTTTCCTTTTCTAGTTCCTTTAAATGTAAAATTAGATTGTTTATTTTAGATGTTTCTTGTTTTTTTTTTGTTTTTTTTTATCCTCCCCTAAGGACATTTTTCCATTTTTTGTACAGACAGAGTGGGAGGGAGAGAGAGGAAGAGAGAGAGAGAAACATTGATGTGAAAGGGACACATCGAGTGGCTGCCACCCGCACGACCAACCAGGACGGGGGACAAACTGCAACCAAGGTACATGCCCTTAGCGGGAACCGAACCCGGGTCTCTCCGGACCGCAGGCGGGCGCTCTAACCGCTGAGCCAAACCGGCCAGGGCAGATGTTTCTTGTTTTTTGAGGTAGGCCTGTAATGCTGTTTTCCCCCTCTTAGCGTTGCTTTTGCGTATTCCATAGATTTTGGGTTGTTGTATTCTCATTTTCATTTGTTTCAAGGTATCTTTTCATTTTTTCCTTGATCTCATTGTTATTCCATTCATTGTTTAGTAACATCTTATTTAGCCTCCATGCTTTTGTGTGTTTTTCAGTTGTTTTCTTGTGATTGACTTCTAGTTTCATATCATTATGGTCAGAGAAGAGTCTTGATATGATTTCATTCTTCTTAAATTTATTGCAACTTGTTTTGTGTCCTAACATGTGGATTAACCTAGAAAATGTTCCATGTGCACTTTAAAAGAATGTATATTCTGTTGCTTTGGGAAAAAATGTTCTGAACATATCAATGAAATCCATCTGATCTAGTGGGTCATTTAAGGCTACTGTTTTCTTGTTGATTTTGTGTTGGAAGATCTTTCCATTGATGTCAATGGAGTGTTAAAATCCCATACTTGGACATATGCTTGCTCCAGAATGCTGGGAAATCACTCTTTTCCTTAAATTTAACAATTTAGAAAGCATGTTAAATGGTGCTTGCCAGCTCAAATGTAATAAATGACCTCATTTTTGGTGATATTAGCAAGGAGAGAAATTGTAAAAATGACAACCCCCGATTTGGGGCCTTTCAGAAAAATCTTCATTTCTTCACAAATGGGCATATTGCAGCTCTTAACCTCCCTACCTGGTGCTCTATCTTTAGGGGAATCCAGTTAGGAAAATGTGAATATCATTTGATTTTTCTTTTGAATTATCTGCCTCACGGCTTTCTTTGACTATTTGTGGCAATTTTGTTTTTCACCTTCTATGTTATTTTATTTTTCAGAACAACACCCAGATGCTTCTGGCATAATGACGGTTATGCAACTTCAAACAATTATATAAACAGATGCCCTAACTTCTCAGTCCATTTAAACATGCTTGGAGGCTGTGGGCATATTGAAAAGATTTTTTAAGCCATACATTGACTCCTCACAGCCCTAAATAAAACAATATTATAGCATTTGGATTATTTGTCCTAATCCTATTGTCAAGAAGTACCCAATTGCCTTGTCTCTCTCTCTCTCTCTCTCTCTCTTTAAATCCTCACCTGAGGATATTTTTCCATTTATTTTCAGACAGAGTGGAAGAGAGAGGGAGAGACACACATTGAATGGCTGCCTC